TATATATGTCTAGTTTTTTGCTGATACTCTTTCAATTAAGGGTCAAATTCTTTCTAATACAACTGTTTTTACCTTATATAACTTTTGAAGCTCATTAGACGAAGAAAGGACGGCTAAAGTTCGGGATAAAAAGCCGATGAGAGATCACTCGTTGAAATTTTCAGCCATGACACACAAGATATGCACTTAATTAGTGTGAATTAAAAATTATTCGAGATTGATTTTTTTTATCACATGTATATACCTTCGTAGCGAAACGAGCAGCGTCACTGGCATAATCCAGCAATGCTGATCGGTTAACATTGTCCGGTCGAAGGAGACTAGCAACATCACTTTGATCTGTGAGGATCACTCCGCGTTCGATAAGCGATTGCTTTTTCGCGGTCATGACGAAATAGTGTGTGTCGTCTTTGTAATAGACGATGTTCTCAAGGTCGATTGCCGTAGCCGCTTGCATATCTCGGAAGAACTTCTGATTGAAGATAAACGTTACCCCACTAATTTCCGGTACTTTATTCTCTTCTTGCGTTTGCCGATTAATGAAGTTTGCCGTAATCCCGATGGCCAATTTGCCACGGAACTCGTTTCGCGCGAAGCCCTTAATCGTGTTTCGCTTGCCATCGGCGCAAATGAGAAAGTCGAACTCATAGTGTGATGCTTCATGATCATGAGGCGTTAACCGGGCTCTCCACCCGGTTTTGACTCCATCCTCCTCGCACGGCTCAATAAGATCCTCAAATGTGACACTCTCATGAATTTCCACACCTAGTAAGAGGCACACCTGAAGGAACAGAATATTACGAAAAAGTAGGCGTTTGTCTATACAGTAACCTCTTGAAAAATATGATCAGTAAAAGTTTAGGTGAGGCCCAACGCCCGTACACTTGCACATTTACACTTCTCGTTATAACTAATTAATGAGAACTCTGGCGAGTGCCCACTTTGATAAACATATACACCCGCTATGGTTATACCAGGCAAAGTGCTAATTACATAGGCACATGTAAATGGCAAAGCTTACCCACAGTAACTAAATTAGAATGCCAAGTAAACTGAGATCTTGATAAGAAACAGGTTCCGTGTATATATAGCAAAGCTACAAGGCCATTTAGACGCTTCGAGTTTTTCAGGTCTGTCCTAAAATTTGACAGCTACATGGTGTGCGTTTGTTGCAGACTTGTGCTTACCTTGAGGAGGATAAGCTGGAGCTGTCGAATTGAAATGTGATCAATACTGCCTGCACAAAATTTCCCAAAGAATTTTTTTGCTCCGAGCATACGAAGGTCCTGAATAACGAATGGCCACAGGTGGAGCACATTATTACGGGAGAATCGGTCTCGTTTTTCGACCAGCACAACCTGTGAGACCGCAAAACAATGATAACAGCAAAATGTCACACTAATGCTACCATGATGTTCTTTTTTTTTATGGCAGAGATTACAGGCTCATTCTTTTACTTCAGAAAACGTCATAAATCAACGCCTGCTTCATTTACGTGCGAATAGAAGAGGTAAGATGTTTATTACCTCTTCTATTCGCACGTAATTATTCATGTATACGAATTTTGACATCCGTCTTCTGAGCGCATGACCGTTTCATGGGTAACTTCACCACGACCCATCAACCCCAACCAAAAAATTGACCGGACCAACAGGAATCAGTGCGTTATGAAAGGCGGGACTATTGGACGGCATCAAATGTTTTTAGCTATATTGGTTTTGCCAGTGTTCGCGATACGCAAATGAATATGAGTATTTCGGCGTTACGCATACACAGGCAACAAGACGAGTAATTACTTTCAGCGGCTTATTTTTGATAAATGTCGAATTAAAGCAACGTATTATATTCTTATAACGAAATACTGGTAAATCGTTCATTCTCATTATGAGCGATTTCATCTATTTGAACTAGAAATAAATGACGATAAGTTACGTAACTTCTTACGAAACGATTTTTTTTCAGGTTAAACGGCTAACTTATTCACATGGACTCATTGTTTTAGTTACAGTCGGTTTTATAAAATAAGAACCCTTAGTAACAAATGGTCAAAACAGTATCAACGATACTAATGATGCCCCTGTGCAGAAAAGTGTCCAATACTATAGCATTTACGGAAAACAATTATATTTAAACTCACTATTTTCAGACATGAGTTCGTAAAAATCAATGTTTTAATCGTTTGTCTTCATGTGGGTAGACGCGGAGCGGATCCGCATGTAAACGAAACCATAATCAATGAGTTTGATGATCCGATTGCGACTCACAAAGCCGTCTGTATCCGGTCTGATTAAGTCGGGTCTGCTATGTTGTCCTAGCACTGCAGATCTGTCGATAGACGCTGCTACTGACGAGGTGTTAGTAATTATTTGTCCAATTGACAACGGTTTCTCAATCGCTTACTAAAGCGGCCAGTGCGTCTGTTTAACAAGTGTAACTTGTACTATCTAAAACAGTAGCGCGGATGTTTATATAGTGACGTAAGAAAATATTGACATACTTAAATCTTTTTTTGAATACTCGAATAGCCAAAAGGAAAATAAACAATTTTCATCTTTCAGCTAGCAAGAGAGCTGTTTAATAGGGTCACGTCAATAAGAATTTCGATGATGGCATAGTTTTTTTTTGGGTAAATCATAGCTGGGAAAGATCAACATAGCTAAAGCTATTCGAAGGGTTATTTCGTACCGTTGTCTACTAATTCGGAACACAGATGTTTAAATCGTTGCTGCCTAGATTCGAAACTCAACTCTCATTTCATTTTCAATAATCATACTTCATGTTGCTGTTTGCTCGTCTATCTTCTAATCATTCATCTTCGCCATTGTGTCAGTGCTTACATAATGCGAAACCATTAGAAATGCTACTATTGTAACTGCACCTATACAAGGAGCGCTAGTAAATGCCGAGTCGCCAGTTACTGCAGCGCTTGATAAAAGGTTAAGACGATATAAAAAGAAACAAGTCAAATTTTTGTCGCTCGATCGCTTCGTGTCCCGGCTGCGATAACTGCTGCGGTCCGTCTGTCTTTCCCGGTTGGCCAGGAAATTCACTATGGTCGCCGCGAGGATAATTAGTGTGTTAATTATCTTCGAACCTTGAAACAAAACGAAAATTTCGCTGAAATGACGGTGAGTACAGTGGCGACCACTGTGATATTATGCAGAAATAGTGAACTTGCCCAATCATTACTGAGTCGAAATCACGGACGCTCATGGCTTCATCGGCTCATCAACCGTTCGCTATGGTGCTCACAAGTGGCGACTCGAAAATCATTTTATAACACCGTTCCCATTATTTGCCAATAAACAGAGCAAAAGTGTGCGTCCACCCAGCGCGCGCTGCTGACGCTATCTCGAAACAACACTATCCAGCGCCTAAACGCCAGGCTCGTCCAATTTCGATCGTTTTGATCCAGTCTGACTAGCAACCAAAAACAGTGACGCCGACTAAATAAAGCACCTATCGGTTTCAGTTAAATAGACTCAATTATTACTCAGACCATTTCGCTGACATAATAACAGCAGCTGACGGCCATAACAGCAGCTGCCATTTCTGTTGTTTTAGCGGCGGTAGCAATATTAGAAAGCCAAAGGTAACGATTGCAGGCACTTTTCATTCTGGGGTGACTACGGCAGTGTTCAGTTCAAACGGTCACACCGATAGATTAAAATACAATAACATAACGAAAGTCGTGATTCCAGACACGCCACTGTTGCACAGCAGTGCAGGACTGCTGATATTGAATCGACTAAATTCAACCAGTGAAAATAAGGTGCAGTTGTTAGAGGGGCTCTCTTAGGTAGGGGCTTATTATTACTATGTAAATCTAAAATTATATTATATAAGCCGCAACCAGCGACGTGAATTAGCGAAAAAAAAAGTCTCTTCTCTGAAGGTTTTGTTTCTAATGAGTTTATTGGAATTTTTTGGTTTCTGTTGACCTAAGCTATTTCTTCCTTTTTTTTTCTTCACTTTATTTAGTCTCAATCAACATATATGTGACGAGGGTGTGAAACTGTTACGAGCAGTTAGTTGATTAGTTCGTATATATTTTATGTAAGCTATCTCTGCTGCTTCGAAAAGAACGTACTTAAGCGTTACGTAGATTAAAGTTACCTTGGCGCCGAGCAACTGAGCTTCGATGGCCGATCGAAGGCCGACAGGTCCAGCCCCGATGATCAACACTCTCGTGTTTTCGCAGCTTCGCCCCTAAAAGTCGAGCGAGAGAAATATTAATAATCTGTATTTCAGCAAATGATAGCACTGAGTAGGTGAACTAAGTAAAAAAAATTCAGACCGTTGTGTAAAATTCCGGCATAGCTTTGGAACTGCCATTTGCTGCCGACAGGAAGCACAAAAGAAAAATTTCTTCTACCTTGCTATATTCCTTTTGGCTCGCCCTTTTATCGAGCTTGTTCCAAAGTCCCTGGGCTTTCCATGACCTGAGTTTGTTCTTCAACTTTGGATAGAACTGGTTTAATGGGGCTGGTGTTAGCTGCAGGATGTCGCAGATCTGAAATACAAAAATTGCAAAAAGGAGAGATGTTCATCGCGAATCGGTTCACCCTCTATGTAGCACTATTGTATGTACTGTAGCAAGTACTATGTATGTGCCTATATTTTATGATTCGATAAACTGATTTTGGCCTTCTCGCTTTGAATGGGTTTAATAAAAAAAAAAAAAAATATAAACGAAATGCTTGTAGTATCTTGGGATAGTAAGTCAGTTGAGTTTTAATTCTTCGATAACAGAGTACTCTCCTTGATTTTTATTTACAAAATCGCAGATTTTATTCATGGCGGTTAAACACTGCTTAATTTCGCCCTGTACGTTTCTGTTCCCACACGGAATACGTTATATCTATATGAATGGATAGCATTCAATTACTTATTCGTCATTAATACTAAAATGGGCGACCTTGAAAGGTTATCATCAGGGCGTCAGGACATAGAGAATTGTTGCGGTGACTTTATTCGCCACTTTAGACAACGATATTAGCGCATGCAGCTCAAACCCGCTAAAATCATCGGGTCAATCTATGTTATACGCCCTAAAGGCGCCGACTTGTTTTACGTACGGTGCTAACATTAGGCTAAAAACTATTTTGCCTAGCTATATCTAATCCTGTGAATGCCGTCTCACCTGACGATAACAGGTCAACACCTGCTTGAAGGTGCCAGCTGAGGTGAACGCCTCGAACCGGTCGGCAGCTAAGGCACTTTCAGGCGACGCGAGTCCGCGAGGCCCAGGGCCCCCCACAGGACTCGTCTGTCTTTGACCCACTGACATAATGTAATATCACGGCACCTGTGGGCGCAATACGCCCGGCGCCCTGATGGCGCCCAAATCAACGCGTTGTTAGACGCATCCCTAACGCCTGAACGGCTCCTAGCAGGTTATATGAGCTACTGGTGTCAGCGCACAGTAAGTCCAGGATACTTAACGCTCTAAGTTGAATGGAGATCACCGACAGACTTCAGTGATTTCGTTACACCTGAAAGCATTGTTAAACATAGAAAATATTTTTAGTAATGATAATTGATTAGCATATAAAGCATTCCAGTTATGCACGGAGTGGAGTAGAATCCGAATAAAAAGGGCGATTCCTTGTCATCGAAGTTAGTGAGGCCGCTGCTGGATCAAAGTAATTTCTGTACCGATTTGACGATTACAAAGATATATCGCCGTTTACGTACGTTTCTATTGAACTCTGGAATACAAACTCATCTTCATTCAATTGTTTACTCTCTGTGAAACGCCAAACGACTTTTTCTTTCAGTGTAAGCTCCATCAGGTGTAGTTATTAAGCTAAATCGGGCAAATTCATGTCTGTCTGTCTGTCTTTTTGTTTGTTGCTTCGAGTACTTTTAATAGGTAGGCACCGTAAACACTGACGTCTGAAAGATAGACTTCAACGTAGACCTTTTCTAGACTTTTTTGGAATCGCAGCACAGTGTTTCGCACTGATCACTACACCTACTCAGAAATCTCAGACTGAGGTGTTCTAAGACCAGAACACCCATCTCTGATGGTTTGTGGACACCCGTTTTTGCCGGTGTTGTCATAATAAAGTTAACTGATCAATTTCAGAATTGGCCTGCTATTTGGTTGATTTATTTTTTTTACATCTCATGTTAGGGTAATCATATGATGATATCAAGGTGACGTCATTCGCAAGAGACGATTACCTCAAGGGTCTTTTTAGATTACTATCCGCAAAAACCCTGCAGGGTCGAACCATAGCCATTACTATTATTATTATGTGTGCCTAGTGTGTTGTGCTGCCGATAAACAAACAAATACACAAGTACCAAAAAAGTAATGCGCGCGAAAAAAAAACTATCCGCTTAGTTTTTTGCCGTCTACTTATTTTTAAACTGTTTAGTGACGACATCATTTTAAACGAATGAAATATACAATAATAGTGATAATAAAATCCCTTGCTGACATAGTCTTCATTGACGTTGACAAATAGTTCGTTCTATCACCACAAGCAGTTCGAAATATGCAGATACAGACACACTAGCATACTGAGAAAAACCGTCGACCACAATGGCAATTACTCGGTCAGTGACGCATCCTAGTGTAGCATTATTATCTACTATTTGCATTATCGCTTGTGACATTTGTCTGCTTAACAGTTGTCCCTTTTTGACCCTAGTTCGTTTCAAATCTTCTAGAGGGCGGTTAAGCCGCGTGTGACCATTGAAGACGGGCCATTGCCTTCGATGTGTCCCTATTCAATGCATTTATTGTCGCGCAAATGTAACTCCGCAATACTGAGTACTTTTCAGGCTGGATGGGCTGTGTAGAAAAGTCAATCACATGACTGCAGGCTTCCTTTAGTTTTGGGACACAACCGCATCAATGTAGATGATAACGAGATTCTAGTGATGGCTCTAAAAACAGATGATTTCTTGAAAATTAGCATTTCAAGCGAATCACATAAGCGTATGCGAAAAAGAAGCTAAGCTTCCACCTTGAAACGTTGCAAAATCACAGGGACAGAAAACATATGCCACTCGCAATTACCTCACGTTAACCTATAGCTGGTTAAGATGCCCGCCATATTTAATTTGCATAACGGCGTATGGCAAATGCGCGAATCGGATTCAAAAGATTCGCGCGAGTTTCTGCCATGGTGAACATACTGACAATATAAAAATTAGGTCTTTAATTTTACCTTCCGCCTGTAATAAGCACAATAGATGTGAGGGTACCAGTCTCTAAAGGCATCGATTTCCCTAAAACATTCAATTATCGAAAGAGTGTCATTCTCTTCGTGTCACATAAATACAGAATTCAAATAATAACAGGCATATCATTGTAGGTACATTCATTCACTTAATATAGAACTACTATTTCTTCACACTATGAACTATGTTCAACAACTAATCCTCGTTTACGTTTGCCTCCATAAGCAATTTAAAAATAATTTACGGTATCTATCAACACCCACATCTCGTTCGTAGCAACAACTTCATCACCACTTAAGTTATTCTTGGTGTCATATCGTTTCGAGGAAAACTTCTACCGTTCAGTATCCGCTCAATAAAAATGCGTTTGGAGGAGGAGGGAAGATCATTTAAAACAGAAGACAGAGCTTTTTTTTTGTGGGTTTTTCTACTTGAATATCTGTATATTTGTGTACGGTGGTTAGTGCGCACGCGCGAATTGTCTCATTACACTATTCTTGCTGTCGGAGTCGTTTCCACTGTTACTACGATATGACGGCAGCTATACGACTACTGTTATGACTGTGGCGCCCACGGCCGTATCGAGTGATATTACCATTGTATCCGAAGAACTCTCCTGTTAATACTAGCCCCGCAGACTGGCGGTTATTACTGTTGCTTCAAGAAGTTCAGCGCAACAATTAAAGAGTCGACCTGCGCGCCATGTGCATTGTTTACTTCAGGGGTGTCGACAGGAACAAAAAACACGCTGAGTTGCGCTTCGTGCGGTTTTACCCGATGTTCAAAACCCAGACACATTTGATAGCGAGTTCAGGTGTCTCACGGCGCTAATACTCACTGGCCGCAGAGTTACGCAAAGCGCGATATAATTGATCGTCGTACATAGTTCAGCATCTGCTTCTGTTGTGACAGCTCGCACTACGACGCGATGGAACAGCACAGCAGCATATCATTGTGGTAACGGGCTCCAAAGAGACTCGCAGTTGTCCGCTTTTCGAAGTGCAGCACTGATGTTCTTTGACTAGCAATAGCGCGATTGGTTGTGTTATGGTGAATCTGTCCTTCCTGTATCGTAAAATGGTGCTACTGTACACGTTAGATGATTAATGTCAACTTCTACTGCAACTTCCCGAACCAGCACTTACGATATGACTGCTGGTAATGCTTGGCATCATAACGTACTCATATAATAATACTGTTCGTTTTCCGATTAGAATAAATATGACGTTCTGTTCTCAGCTACAGTTATATGTTGAAATTAGAAAATAGAAAAACGCGACTACAGCCTACGGCAATTGCTTGCGCCACACCCACATGTTACTAGAATGGCTAGTCTTCTTATTTGCTTAAATGATGAACATTCGTATTAAGCAGCAATGCACGTTGGCGGATTCAAACCAGCGATGCTTACATCGAATTTTGTGTCTGGGCGTCGTCCCTCAACTGGTTGAGCCCTTGCCTTGCTGACAATAGTTCGTATTATAGATACAGGGGCATGCGTCACGGTGGCGAGTCATTAACGCCGCTGATTACCTGAATAACAACGTGAACAATGAACTTTCGAATGGCGGCAGCAGCACATTCCGCTAAAACAGCGGTTTTGTTGCTCGTCTTATTACTGCTACTGTTTGTTTTTATTTTTTTTCTTTTTTCGGTGATAAGACACATTAGAAGTCTCGTCGGACCATTTGCGAACTCTGCGAAGTATAGGGATGTCGGTGGCTGTTGCCTGCACAGCTGAACTTGGCTTGGCTGACAACAACATAATAAGGAGTATTGTTACGAAACAACTCGTGCGCAAAATGCAAACTGCCGGGAACTACGGCTTATTGACTGCAAAGAAATACAGAAATTTAACAGGAAGCTGAGTGGACTAAATTTGAGACTCGATCAATCTAGAATGAAATGCTTTAGGCAGCATGGCATCTGAAAATGTGTTCAAGCGAATTACTTCGTAGTTGTTCCCGCTCGTTGACTTGAGAATAGGTAGGTAAACGTAAGGTATCCTACGGCCATGCTGCTTTCTAAAAGATGTTTGTACGTGCTCTACGTGAAACATGAAACGCAATAATGAACTACTGTATTTCTACAAAAGTGAATACATATCGTTCCATGGTGTTATAATAATTTTCTATCATAAATGCACGTAATATTAGAATAAGGTGCTTTACATGGATGAAGTGTGAAGAAGTCCAGTAAAAAATGTTGTCCATTTGGTCTTTTGAGAGCCTTTTTGGTACTACAATGACGACTTATATTGCTTATTATGCTATTATCTGAGTTGTTCGATGATTCGCTTCGGCGGTAGCTGAACAGTCCAATGCGAAAAAAATTGCTGCTGAATAGAACAAACCTCTGCGTCATTTCTACCATTTCTCCAATATGGGACGAAAGCATCCACAACCATGCAGCGGTGGAAGGGGAAGAGACACGTGAAAAGTCGCAAACTAAAGATAAATGGATGACAAAGAGAGAGAAATAATAATACAGGGGAAGAAATCTTTGTCGTGCGGGCAAACATCATCTCGGCCGCCAAATGCCCAGGTGCAAACTATCGTCTGCAGGCAGACGCTCCAAATTGGTCCAAGTATATTCGGCACGAGATGATGTCTCAAAAGTGCCACATCGAAGCAAATTAGATAGCAGTTGTAGCTGATGATACGTATAGCTGATGATAGTTACGATAACTACCATAACGTTTACTATTAAACCAACTACAGTGCAGTCAGTGTAGTTGATTTAATGCTACAAGCACTTCTGTTATTGTTAGTGGTACACTTAAGCAGCACTGACGCAACGTAGTTGATGAAGATGACGTTAGTGCTGTTGATGTAAACGATCAAAACCAAACTGGCAAACGCGGCGTCGGCAACAGCTGCACGTAAATCAGGAAAACGCGACGCACAACGACGGAAAGCAAAAGCAAGAACTAAAACGTGCAGTCAATGCAACGCAAAGGGTCGATGATGGCGAAGAACAGGAGCGAGGGGATATGAGACTGGAAACGGGAATGAAGCATAAGTAAAAAAAAAAAAAGTCCATTTTGGTCCGTTACAACAACAAACTGTTGTAGGAGCAGAAAGCTAGAACAGGTAAGCCAGAACGTTTACGCCGTTCGGTCCTATAACAATATGTTAGCTGCAGTGATAATAATAGCAGCACCTGCCACAGCTAGCAGTACCGCTTCATCTAATTCGTTTTGCCGCTGCTGGTGGGGCTGACAACGGTAGTAGCAGCCGTAGTGCGTAGAAGAAATTCGCTTCGAATCAGTGTTCAGGCTTGACACAGACAACAAGAGTAACAACGGCACCAGCATCGGTATCTGCGGCGGCGACGGCGGCAAAAGAGCAGACGTTGCAAGTGCATTCACAGCGCCACATGATAGCGACATGAACAGCTGCAACGGTAACGGCGCCAGCGCAACGCTACATGCGCGGTATAACGTTACGCAAAGCAAAACGATCGGACGCAGAACGCGGCTGCGCTTACTAACGCGGCAGGTCACTACCGGAACCGCCAACATCTGCGGTGTCGCATCATCGGTTCTTTACCGCTAGCACTGGCTTGTGCTAGTGCCGCAATGGTTATTGTCGCCCTCAACAGTCAACGACATCGATAGGTACCCGGCCCACCGACTATCGGATTGACACGTTATTTCTTCGACTCAACAGCGGACGTATCAAACAAAGCAGAAAGAACATGAAGCCGATATAAGTTGTTGCGGGTGGCAAGTCGCAAAACAGCACGACGACCGTTATCCGAGCTAGCGAACTATGTACCATTTAGACAGAGCCAGACCCGCCACGATCATCATCGCCAACAGCAACAAATCACACTGGAATCGCGGTGTAGCTAGTCAGTTAGTTAGTCAGTCGACGTCACTCATGCAAAAGGGGCAAAGAAAGGGTTGATCGCCACTCAGGAAAAGCGAGCTAGACAGCGGAGCACAACTGTCCTGAGTAGTTTTTTTCGTTACTTAGGTCTGCTTGATTTATCGGTTCATACGCAAGCAGCACAATTAGGCGTAAAATACTGTTGAAGTGGACCCCAAACTGAAGCAGCTAGAACAGAGGGGAGTGCAGGAAGTGAGTAGTCTTGACAATGCAGCGAGGCGGCACGAAAACAGAATGCAGCTCGTCATGGCAATGTTGAGCTGGTAAAGTGTGATCAGGCACAGAAAATTATGCTTACCAGAGGATAACACAGAGCTGGAGACAATCGGAGAGGTAAAAAGGAAGTGTGAGAATCGATAAAGAGTAACTAAGGGCAAATTGAGGAAGGGTAAGCAAATAGTTAAAAGGAGGACGCAGTTGGTCGCAGCTCATCGATCCATTTTACTCTTTGTAGAATTGTTACAATATCAAGCAGTAGCAAGCCGATAAGATAATCTTCCCTAATAATCCAAAGACAAGGAACGGCGGGCGACTAACCACGAAAGGAAATCGGCACAGCTGGAAGTGACGGTAGCAATCGTTTAGTGAGCGGAGAGCACTTCTGTATATGATGACGATGGGTTGTGATGCGATATTGAACTGTTGCAGGAAAAGTAGACAAGCATAAGTCTGTGCGTGTTCTTGTAAAAAAAAAATAAATAGTAATAAGTAGTATCAACAATTTTTTGGAAACAAAGCGATTCTTCGCCGCGACCGAACCGGCCAAACATATGAATAAACAAGAAGACAACAGGGAATATATTGCGAAATATAATTTTTTAGATTTAGTGGAATATGTTATGACGTAACAGTGATTATTATATGATATAGATGTTTTGTTCCTATATAAACTTCAGTGAATTGCCAGTCAGCAGGTGGTAACGCTTTTGTCTACGTATTTTTATTGTCTATATTGAGCGGAACCTTCCTGTCTGAAAAACTTTACAGTGGAGAACCGACATAGCAGTAAATCTTTTATGCACATTTCTAGTTTACAAGGATTATATTAAGATCGTTTCAAAATGCTTAAATCCAGCTGCTCACCAATTGACTAAGGTAAACACTCAAATAAATCTGCACCACATTGCTTAATCTATTGGAAGTACATTTCAATAGGCGTAATGGCAAACAATTCGCATGCGCTCTCAATAATTGATAGATTCGCAATGCCCCATAAGAAAGAAAAGACTGTCAGATGAATATGTGTATAGCTATAAGAATCGCGCGGAAATCGTAAGTTTGGCTATATCATGCCGCCCTCTCGATTAGGTTAAGATGGAGTAAATCGGATCCTTTTCTTAATCAGTAAAAGTTTTTCACGACATATCGTTTTCAACGGACCGAAAACCTTCTAAATCGTAAGACATCATCTGTCTCGGTAGATATCCTGACGGTGAATTACTAGCGCCAGCGCAAAATGTTAGACATTCCATATAACTCTCTCATATTTATCGGTTCTATTCCTTTTGAAACCTACTTATTGTTAGGGAAGGTCTAATTTTAGAATGAACTCGCCGGTTATCTCAATTGGTTTTAAAACATATCTTGTTTTCCAGTTTTCAATGGTGTAACCAATATCGCCAACTTCCGTTACTTGGTATTAACGTGTATTTTGTTTTTGTCACGTAAGACGTTCTTTTTCTGGCACGAAACAAACATTTGTGTCCGTCATCGTACAGATATTGCTAATAGTAAATATAATAAAATCAGACCGAATAAGAATTAGCGTCATATGTATAAATCATAGAAAAAAAATATCGAGGTACTTTTCCCGCAACGTTGTTATATCCTTACGAAATAGCATTGGTAAAGATACGTTCGAGCTGTCCATTACACGCAACATGACTCAATGCAGCATGGTCGCTGGGCACCTAGATAATATTGACACCGAATGAGTCATACAGTAACGACCATTTATGACAATTGCGCTCAACGGTCCGCTTATTGTTTAACCAACGAAACAGCTATTGCTGCTATAAACGAGTTAACTATGCGGTTACTGAACGCGGTAGGGAACGTAAACATCGGCCCGCTTCTCTCACGGCGATGATCTTTGCCAACTAGTACGTTGGTTTCGTTTTCGAAATTTGGTTTTCCTACTGTTTTGCATAGACGGCGGCCGTACGCAGAATACAATCGTCATTAACTGCACCATAGAGTAGCAAGATCACTGCTGTTTCGAGAGTGTCGATGTTAGTATTAGCATTTACAGCAGCTGCGAAAAACTGGTATGGTTTGTGGGCAATGAATAGGAGCACAGGCAAAGGTCTTATATAGATCAAGTATAAAGAAGGTGCAATAAGGCTAACGAGTGTCTAAAGATTAACTAGAAACCGACAAGGCTTCTATGTGTCAATGGCATGATATTAGTTTTCGGTCAATTTATAAAAAATGGCGAAATGATATGAGCTCTATTTAGAAAAACTGGAGAGTGTTTAAGTTAAATTACGTCTAACCATTTCAGTCGTTTTGCAAGAAAAATGCATAGTTAATTACTTTCGGGAATCACAACGTCTTTTTAGAGGTTATCCTTCATAAACGCAAAACTAACACCACAGATTCCAAGTACAAAATGGATACAACAGCGATACCGTACACAACACTGGGCTGGTACCGTTGAATTTTTGCGACATTAAACTAAATCAATCGTTGTATCTGCGGCTTTGCCTATAGTCGAACAAAGCGTCGCTTATTTCTTGCTAAAAATATTGTTTTTTCTTTGAACTTAAATAGCGTTTCTTGACAATGCGGCCAGTGCTGTCTAATTGATTTAAATTGTCGACGGAAGTTATTCATATTCTCACAACTACTAACTATTCGTTGCTTAAAAAATGTAGCAGTTGTGGACCCTTAATGGTATTTTCTTTAATTAATCATTATTGGTAAGTCCAACATCCCCACCCTCTCATTACGAAGCTGAAACCCTAGGCTCCACTATTTATGTATTTATTGAATACCAAAAGGTAATTATGAGCTAGATACAGTAGCCAAACAATTGTAATTAATTAATATGTGGCTAAAATTTCATTCATCTGATTTTGCAAATTTACTCACTTCAGATAAATAACAGCTCCATATTGTAGACTTCCTATCTTCACAGGGGGGCGAGCAGACTCACTAATCCGGAGTAGTGAAACTAACCACTTCTATGTGCAGGCATGTAGTGAAGGCTGCCACTTGCCAAGAACATAATATTGTTAAGCTATTTAGTAAAACTATTGCCCCTCCCTTGTAGGTCTCAAAAACTGGCAGCGCTCAAAAACATCCTTTACCTCTGGTTAGGCAACCTGGGCAAGGGACCATAGAACGCCTTGTGTAAACTGTCAATGTCGATTTGCTCTTTACCTGCTGTAGTAGATGTTTCGTTGATTTTTTTTTAAGCGTTCAGTTGAGGATACACATTTTTTCCAGTCGCCTCGATGAACTGCGCCTCCTGCAACGGCTCGGCGACCAGCGCGGCCTGTGTTACCATTATTGTGTCGTATAATCGACTACGTCCATGCAGAAGCCAGAACCGATCACAGGAATAACAGCCCATTGTAACAGTATTATATTATCAGCGTTAATAAAACAAGACGTTGAGAGCTTTACAAATCTACTAACACCTCAATCTATGATTGTTACATATCAGAATATTTCATCGAACAATTATAGAATTTCAGAGTTGTTCTCAAAAGTTCGCTAGTGCGAGAAAAGATCGCTATTAAATTCGCCAGTTAGAGCACATGTGTTTGATTGGGTAAGATATTCTGTTCGTATGCATATTAGTGATCCTACCAATTATAATTACCATTGCTTAATTGTTTGTTTATTCAATCACATTTATCTCGTATTTATTTTATTACGCTCCTACATAATTGTGAGATTGTAACTGTACACATTCTACGTCGGAGCTCGTAAAGCAGCTTCAAGCCTCAAAACTTAACATCGTTCAACCTGCCAATACAGTTAACTAACGCCAGCGTAATATAATCCAATAACGGTCAGCTTTCCAACCATTTCATCTGAGATATGACAAGTTTGACAAGAATAGACAGTGATTGATCCCTGGCCTGATCGAGCTTATATGTTCTTACTCTCGGTATCAGTTAATGGTTGCCAACTAGAGCAAATCGATTGTGTTAAACGAGCGCCATTTTTCAACGCATCAAACATGAAATAAAGATAGCCTGATACATAGACGTACAGCAAGTACACTTTTAATGATAATATGAAAACAGCAACGCTCTTCGCCCACTTATGTCCCTTCTTTTTCGTTACACGCCGACCTGGCACTAAAGGGTGGAAGAGACCGTTACATGGCTGAGAGAATTTACCTTTTTGTCCTCCTCTGTTCACTCGTAGATGATGATAAACAAATCTACAGTTCTAGATATCTTCAACAGACAAATGACTAACCGATGTTTAATAAAGAGCCAGTCAGCGATGCACCTAGATGAGTCAGCCAGAAAAATTGTTTTAATAAACGAATTTTGCCGCCAGTAATCGCCTGAATCGCTCTATCCCGGATAAACATATATGCTGTGTGTCGCATGGACGTAAACTGTAAATGTTTTTTTTAGTGCAGGCTGCTATCTAGCGAAAAATTGGTTCGTCCGAATTCGCAATGTATTCAGTATACTTGCATGCTACGTCATTTTTTCAATAAACGTACAATTTGAGTTGTTAGCACCGCTAAACAATTATATAGATGCAACATGTCGCAGATAAGAATAAGCCTTTCCGCTCAAAAGATGCACTCCGGTCGGACACAGTTATCCTGCGCTATCAGTTTCCCGTGCACTTTCTCTTTTCAAACCTGATTAAATTGCATAACTAATTTAATAATTCATCTTGCCCTTGCGTCTCGTCAAAAGAAATGCGATAATGATGACGCCACAAAAACAGAAGTAAAGGTCAATACTGACTTTCAACAATTGTTCTTTTCATCGGTCGACAGATAACCCACCGTCATCAGCACCACTTTCGGCCCCTGGAAATTTATTCTTGAAAATATTCGTTTTGAGGATATTTGAATGCACTTCTCAATGATCTCTGCATTTATGTCTATATTTATTGGACGCAATGAGGTGTAAATATATAGGGCACTCTGCCGTAGACCATTTGACGGCTAAGACGACCTTCAATTGATGGTCCGCATTTGTCGCAAATGTTTTCGCTATTTATGTAGCTTTCATTTCTATTGTTGTTGCGGCTATTGCACAGTTTATCAATGTCTAAACTGAGTCTTCAAGACTTTAAAAATATTAAGCAAGCTATCGGTGTTGGTGCAGCCTAAATGTTCGCAAGCGGAAGTGTCGATGTTAGTACTACCAATGGCGAGCCAGGGCGAACAATACTAACAAAATAAGAAATAGATTCGCATATAATTTATTCTTTTCATTTTTTTGTTCTTTTTTTTAATTAGGTACTACGCTAAGCCATTATATTGGTGGTATTGGCAGTATCTAAACCAGCTCGTCATCGTGTACAAACGACCCAATGGTGATTCAGCGACCCCTGGAATCAAAATTCGTTTTCATTGGGTTCCGCACTCCCTTAGTAGCGCCATACTGTTTTCGGTAGCGGGTATCGTCGAACTGTATGTAGTTGAACTCTTTAATATTTTCTTTTTAAAATGCACAAATGATGTAAACGGCGTCTGATGCCACATATATCGTAAGACAGACCATCCGTTGCTAGCACTTATTCAATCATCGTTGTTATCATTACAGCAACAAATTGGCCAGCCAGTCAAGTCGGCAATTATTTCATTCTGGCCTACACAACTAACTGTAGCGTCATTACACTTTCTAGAGTCAATATCAATAGAAGTAGTAGCCGAGTAATTCATATTTCGCTGACTAAATAAAGCAAAACAGAAAACCAATAAGAAAAACACACATATGGATTTAAAAGAGCACACGTGACTAAAATTGTTCACCTATATATATATAAAACAAACGTTTTGTATAACTTTAATGATTTTTATTAGACATGTGAAAACGAATGGCTCTGCTTTTGTTATTACTTTTGTCACCTCTACGTCGATTCCTATCCACTTCTACAGCGAGGCATGTTAACTTGGCATGACCACGTTCAGACTTGAATTCTAATGGTTACAAATGTAACGATCCGCGTATGATATTTATATATTTACTCATTTGTACATGCACAGAGATAACTACGATAATAATAGTTGCTCTGTGATCGCGACACTTCAGTGCGTTTATTATTTGGTTACTGTTTGGTGGGCATCTTACAATGAATTAGCGTTCGGATACACGCTAAAATACGAAGGAAGCCCTTTAAATAATATCTGCATAAAACATCACTTTGTCTGTCAACTGCTTTTGTTGATATTCATTTTTATTTTGATCGCCATAAACAACAGCAGCATTAATAGCACAGCTGATGATGGTGTACTAACGATGGCGAGAGTTAAACGGGGCAGGTACATGGGATGTTTATCGCTATAAGACAAAACCGTGGGACGGTTCTCAAGTTATACTATCCTTTCGTTATGAGTTGCGACAGGTCTTTTCCGAATTTGGATCTATGCAAGCAACAATCAAGCTGTTATCGTACTTAAAGTGTGCGGTTAGTCCTATGTCCTGCTGCTAGCAGTGGCCGAAACAG